AAGCTAACCCAATGAGATAAGTAGAATTATTCCCATTTCACAAAAGAGGACACTGAAGCTCACATAAGTTGAATAATTTGCTGAATGATCAGTCTGGATTTGAATCCAAATTTGTTGAACTCTAAACTTCCCACTTTTAATTGGTAGATCATACCATTTCTCTCACTGTCGGACACTGCTTTTCAACTTTCTAGACGAAAATTTCATCTTTTAGAAAGGTCTTTTGTAGATTTTTCTTCCGTTTTTCTGTTCTGAAAGAGTTGAAATAAAATTATTTTAAATGGACTAATGCTTAATTATAAAAGTATTCTTCCTATGGGTCGAATCATAACCACAATAAGTAGTTTTCTTGTTCAGATATAAACACACATACATGCATTTGTGTGCACATGTGTGCTTGTAAGTGCACATAAACATACACCCACACGATGCTGGCTAACATCTGTAGCTGGGAAAAATAATCGAACAAGTTACGGAACAGTGTTTAAGTTATTCACGTCCCTTAGGTAATTGTTGAAGAAGCCTCTATTTCTCGATTTGGTACCCTTATATCTCATTACTGAAAATATTGACTAAAATGTGATTTCTGATGTAGAATATACTCTAATTGATGAGGGAAGAGAGAGAGAGAGAGAGAGAGAGAGAGAGAGGTGAGGGGAGAGAAATGGGGGGAGAAATGGAATTCATCACTGGCTTGTGCATCTAAAATATTTAAAAATCAAGTATAAGAAACATCTCATAGCAAGTAGGAAAGGATGCCTCCTTAAATTTTGACATTCAAATTCCAAAGACTGAAGGTTAGAACAAGCTCTCCTAGGATTATGGTGAATAAAAAGGATAGTGCTGAAGAAATTGGAGTTGCACAAAAAGAAAATCATGGCCTCTGGACGCTTAGATGAGTTAGAGTGGGAGGGAGGAGACAATGCGTCATTACTCTGCAAGGGAACCTCCCTCTGCCACAACGATATACATGTGGCATCTGACAGACTTCACACACGTGACTGGAGCTGACAAAGGGCAAAGTAGACCAGAAGCTCATTTCTGATATTTTAGTAATTTTAGTTGTACCCCTAATTTTCTTTCCTTAGTTCCTGGTACATAGTGGAGATGCATACATCAGTTAGCTAGAGTTGAAATTCCAGATAAAAATAGCTCACAATTACTTTATTTCTTAATATCTATGTGCTATGTTATAATAAAGATCACATACTGTTAATTTTTGTAGTCATGAAAATGCATAATTCTTGGTAGAGTGCTATAGTTTAAATTTTACCTTATGTTCACTGGATGTGGGGGATATATTTACTCAGAGTTAAGTCATTGTACAGAGATGAATATGATACTCTTCCTTTAGGACAGACTTACAAGGAGAGGTCAGAGAGGTTTCAAAAATAATGTTAATTATTTATAACCTGAGCAACTCCCTTCTCTTCATTCATTTAACAGGTATTTACTGAGTACCTACTATGTGTCAGACACAGTTCTAGGCTTTTGGGAAATGTCTATGACCAAATAAAAATGTTACCTCGCAGAGCTTACATTTTAGGGAGAGGAGTTAGATAATAAGCAATACGATATTAAGTAAGTAAATGATATGTTAAGTGATAAGTTCTGTGGAAAAAACAAAAACTAGAACAGGGTTGGCAGAACAGGAGAACTGGACTTGGGGACAGAATTGCAATTTTAAATAAGGTAGTCAGCCTCATTGAGAAGGCTCCCAAGAGGGAAATAACTTGTTTGAGGTCCCTTGGCTCGTTGGGGAGTAAAAGAGCAGGATTTGATCCCAGGGCTGACTTGAATGTCCATGCTCTTTTTCCGAAGGGATAGATGACTCCAGAATGACAGGAGGTCTCAGGAAGGACATGACCTACTTTAGTCACCCTTCATTCAATGAGGCAAAGGATGAGTGGACAAGGAGCAGGAGGAAAGTATCTAGAGAAATCTAGGTACCTGGCTGGAAGGTTTAGGCTGAGCACAGCTTTTCAAATAACATGTTCAAAAGCTGGAAGGAGGACACATAACTAAGGGAAAATACAAAAAAATAGTGAATCTATAGTATTAATGTCTTAGAAGAGATGCATCTAGATACATCTTTCAGAGCTATTAACTCTTCCCCCAAAACATACTTTTAGAGACTGGATTACTTAGAGCTATAGACAAGTACAAGGTACTTCTTGAAGGATTTCTTTTAGATTGAGATTTAAAAGGCTGAGACACAAATAGATTTTTGTTGACCAGGTCATATAAAAGCTGTAGTTTCAGTTAAACTTTCCCATTTTTTGGTTTAAAACTTTTCAGGAAAGAATGTTGTAAATAATTAATCTTTCATAAAATTATCGCCCAAAGACTCCTGCATTTCAGAGGATAGAGTGTTTTTGAGAGGAAAGAGATGGTTTCTACTGAGGAATTTGTTTCACCAATAAAGGACCCTTTATAGAATTTTTTTGTTTGTGAGTTCTAGAATTAAATTTATGTTATGATCACAGTCTGGGTAAATTTAGTCCAGTGAATGATTTCTAGACAGAAAAAGAAATGCAGAAGTCATGGAATGGATTCTGAAGGAGAAGCTCATTTCTTAAAAACTGTTACCCCTTATTACTTCAAATTAAAGAAAAATAAGTATTAGATATATCTTCCTCATTTCATTCACAATGACTAAGGCTTGAGTAGGTTAAGTGATTTGCCCAAGGTGACATAGGTAATTACTTGAAGAGCTGATTCCTTGGCCAGTGCTTATTCTAGTTCAACAGAGTCCCACCATAT